GGAGCGCCACCGCGCTTCCCAAGCGGCGCACTACAGCAGTGCGCCACCGGGCCGGCCCCCCTCCTTTTATTTCTTTTAATATACCAACCACAGTTTTTTTGGTTTTGTTTTTTGGCAGCTGGCTGGTACAGGGATCTGAAAATCAGTTGTTTTGACACCATGCTCTGCTTATTCTGGTTTCTGGATTGTTTCTGGATCTGCTTCCATTGACTGTTTTCTCTTGACTCTCAGTCACTTTTTTCTGCTTCCCATTTCTTGTGCTTTTTTATTGTACCAAAGAGATTGTAGCTATGTTGTAGAGGGTCTGGATTATGTTTATAGAGTGCTGTTTTCTGTAGATTGCTAAATTATTGATGTCTTACCTGATCCTGTGAGGGATTGATTTTGAGTTTTGTTAGAATAGGTCTGCTTCAGTTTTGCCCTTATTCGTTTGGTGTGGTCCTATTCCTACAGTGTGGCTTTTCTGGGGACTCAATCTGAAATTTCAGGTGTTCACAAAGCCCTGTCTACTTTGATTGGATCTAAACTTTAACCTTTGTCTCCCCAGTACTGTACAGCCTCTGAAATCTCTGATCAGGTCTCCATCTTCCCACATCCTGTTCTCTGCCAGGCTTCCTGGAGTCTCCCTATGTGCATGCACAGCTATGAGTCAGCCAAGAAAGCAATGGGGAATTCTGACATATATTTGAGAGGGGGGTGGGTCCTTCTTTCTACAACCCATCCCAAATCCTAGCTTCCTGGCAGCCCTGAACTCTAACCTCTGTCTTCTGTGCTTAGTTAGACTGTTTCTGTCTGCTTGGTGTCTTTTTTTCAGCACCTGCTTTGAAAAAACAGACTCAGGGAGAAAACCAGGGTGAACATAGGGTCCCCTGCTTTGCTTCCCTTCTCTCTCTCTGTTTTTTGTTTTTGGCAGCTGGCAGTATGCTTCTCTTTTCTTAAGATTTATAGCCCTATACTGGTTGCTGTCCAAAGTCTGCAAATGGTTGTTTTATGTTTTTCCAGCTTTTATAGTTGTTTATGGTGGGAGGGTAAGCCAAATAGCCTAACAATGTAATACTAATAGAAAAGCAGTAAGGAAAAACACTTCGTTTACATTATGATCACTGTTGAAAGCTATCTATATTCGTAGAAAAAGATTAGAAGGAATATATCAAACTATTGAGTTGCTACCTGAGTTAGATGAGATTGGGGGTGCTGAGGAGGAATTTATACTAATGTCTGTTTTTGTGTGTTGCTTTCTAATCTCTCAGTACCTCCCTGCACTTGGCTACTCAAAACGGGTTCATCTGATGAATCCTATGGTCCCAGGACTAACTGGCAGCAAAATGAGCTCTTCAGAAGAGGTAAGTTGCCAGCTGTGACTTGAGTTTAGAAATCTTCAGCAAGAGGGCCTGCCCGTGGCTCACTTGGGAGAGTGTGGTGCTGAGAACACCAAGGCCAACAGTTCGGATCCCTATATAGGGATGGCCAGTTAGCTCACTTGGGAGAGCGTGGTGCTGACAACACCAAGTCAAGGGTTAAGATCCCCTTACCGGTCATCTTTAAAAAAAAAAGATAAAAAAGAAATCTTCAGCAAGAGATGAGGCAATTGAGGACTCAGAGGACAGTAGAAGACAAGTAGAATTCTCAAATATTTGAGTCTTAAGGGACCTTAAGTAATCTAATTAATTCAGTGGTTCCTGAGTACTGTGGGACCCGGAAGCAATCCTAATGGGATCCAATTATAATGTTAACAGTTTTTACTGCTACTGATGAAAAACACAAACAAAAGTAATTTCTTTATTCATAGAACTGTAATCAAATTCAGCATCAGTGGAGCTGGCCAGTTAGCTCAGTTGATTAAGAGTGTGGTGTTTGTAACACTGAGGTCAAGGGTTTGGATCCCTATACTGGCCAGCCACCAAAAATAAAAAATTAAAAAATGTCGATTGAACCCTGTCCTTAGAGATTCTGATAAAGTGGTCCTGAAAAGAACTCAGGAATCTGTATTTTTTTTTTCAAATCCTACCAGGTGATTCTAATTTAAGTCACATTTGAGCACTCATCTAGTTCTTTAAGTCTGACTTCACTAACTTTCATCAGAGATTGGTTAACATAGTATGCATGCATACTTTATTATTTTTAGAGGAATATACTTATTTCTTTTACTGTCACATTAAAGTGCTCCATGTGTTGGTTATTCCTCTGACAAAATATCATATCACTCATCCTATTTGTTGACATTTGCCATATCTTAACCCTGGAAATCAGGCCTACCAGCAGTTCCCAAACATGACTGTGCAGCAGAATCACTTGGAGAACTTTTTAAAAATACAAATGCCTGACCTAACCCCAAGATATTTTGATTCATTAGGTTTGGATGGAGCCCAGTAATTTATATTTTTTAAAAGGACTCAGGGGGCCAGCCCGTGGCTCACTCGGGAGAGTGCGGTGCTGATAACACCAAGGCCATGGGTTCGGATCCCATATAGGGATGGCCGGTTGGCTCGCTGGCTGAGCGTGGTGCTGACAACACCAAGTCAAGGGTTAAGATCCCCTTACCGGTCATCTTTTAAAAAAAAAAAGGACTCAGGGCTGGCCAGTAAGCTAGGTTTATTAGAGTATGGTATTATAACACCAAAATCAAGGGTTCAGATCCCCATACAGGCCAGCTGTCAAAAAAAAAAAAAAAAGAGGACCTCAGGTGATTCAAATACAGTCATATATGTGGACTAGAATTTGGTAACCACTGGACTCAAATGACCATGAACTTACTCCAAAATAAGAAACAAAGCCTATTACCTAAAAAGGAAAAATGGCTGCAGATAATATATAATACCTGGTGTTGGTGATGCTGTGAAACAAGTATTCTCATACATTGCTGATGGCAATGTTTTTGTTTGTTTATTGTTTTTTTCTTTGGTGGCTGGCCGGTACAGGGATTGAACCCTGGACCTTGGTATCAGCACCACACTCTAACTAAGATAACTGGCCAGCCCCAAAATGTTAATTACTATACCTTTCAGAAAACAATTTTGAGGGCCGACCCTGTGGCTCACTCGGGAGAGTGCGGCACTGGGAGCGCTAAGGCCACGGGTTCGGATGCCACGGGTTCGGATCCTATGAGCGCTAAGGCCACGGGTTCGGATCCTATGTAGGGATGGCCGGTGCGCTCACTGGCTGAGCGCGGTGCGGACGACACCAAGCCGAGGGTTACGAATCCCTTACCGGTCACAAAAAAAAAAAAAGAAAACAATTTTGAACCTAGCAGTTTTGGGTAGCTTAAGGAAATGATCCTAGTGAAGGCAAAAAATCTCTGCAAAGATGTTCAATGTAGCTTTCTATATAAGTTGTAAAAATTAGGATATAATCTAACAGTTTGGAAATTATTAAATTATGTTGCCACTAATAATTGGGAATATAATACACATAAAAATTATAAGAGAAGACTAGGTAACCATTCAGAAATAACACATAGTCTCAAGTGAAAAAACAGAATAGACATGTATTCTCTGACTACAAATTTATAGCAATTCTGTGTGCTATAGACAAGGCCTGGGAAGAACACAGAAAAATTACAATAATTTAATTTATTGGGTGGCAATATTGTAAGGGAGGGGTTCTTCACCGTGATTAATTCTGCTTTTGTTAAGGTTTAATGTTTGCATTTTTATTTTTAAAAAAATATTAAATACACAGATAAGGTGAGTATATTCTTATTTTCAACCACAAGAGGTCCTCCTCCCCTTCATGGCTTCTAGGAGTCCAAGATTGATCTCCTTGATCGAAAGGAGGATGTGAAGAAAAAATTGAAGAAGGCCTTCTGTGAGCCAGGAAATGTGGAGAACAATGGAGTTCTGTCCTTCATCAAGCATGTCCTCTTTCCCCTCAAGTCTGGTAAGACACTCCCTGTTTTCTTCTCAAAGGCTAGGCTGGAAGAGCAAAACTAGTGCTGTGGTTGCAGTTGTGATTGGAACTGACTGCCCTGATTCTCTGCTCTGATTTTTCATATATTAATATCTGGATGAGATTGGGATATCAGTTAGTTTTACATGTGATATCAGTTAGTTGTACCGTGTGTTCATTACTAGGCCAGGTTCTCAGGGAGTGTTGGGAGTAGGCAAGAGTGTTAGAAATGAGGGTGGGGGCAGACATGTTGAACTAGAGGAGTACAAAAGAAATATAAGCCATGATCTTTCCCCTGAAGGAACTGGGATGCTAGCTGGATATACAATATTGCCACTCATCCAATTTAAGAACAATTAAATGCCATATAATGAAGTTCAAAATATATGGCAAAAACTACAAATACGTGTGCATTTGGGCTAGGAAGGCTGACTGCCATTATTTGTGAGTTTGTTGGCATGGATCTTTTTCTTACAGAGTTCGTGATCCTTCGAGATGAGAAATGGGGTGGAAACAAAACCTACACAGCTTACTTGGACCTGGAAAAGGACTTTGCTGATGAGGTAATACTAGAGGAAAACTATCCCCAGTGAGTTCTGACAAACTTCTCCATCTTGGCCTGGCCAGGTTTGTAGTTATGTGCCACAGGGCTCTGTCTTGATGCTCAAAGGCTGTATATTTTGCTAACGGCTTAGATGAGCATTCAGGTGGTTCACAGATGAGATGGGCAAATGGCACAAAGCTAATATATTGGTACATTATCAGTATATCCAAAGGACTTGACAGGTCAGAATAAAGGTCAAATCCAACAAGATGAAATATTTCAGAGACAGGTGCAAAATCAAGGTTCAAAAAAGAGAGACAACTATAAAAGGGCAGAATAGAGGCTACTATTCATTTTAACAGCAGTTTAACAAGAGGTTTTCTAGATGCCTGTGTATTAAGCACCATGCTAGGGACTGGTGTTGCAAAGAGGCTTAAATCCTTATGAAGCTCAATCCAGTGGGAGAGGCAGTAATTTTGTCATTTACTGTGTTATTGCACTATGAAGATATGTGTGTGTGTATATATATATATATATATGGTCCAGAAATAAAATCTGGAAAAGCTTGTGGAGGGGACAATATCCAAGCACTGTTTTGCATGAGGAATAGGAGTTCATAAGGAAATCTGTGAGGGAATAAATTGTGCAAAGATATGGTAAGATGAAACAGCCTGGTATATGAGGACCCACAAGTGGTTTAGTCTGACTAGAGTCTAAAAGGTGAGGGGGGCATCGTGGGAAGGATGTGCTAGGCCAGGTCACAAAGGGAAGACATAATAATAGTATAGACAGGGAATGAAATGGGGGGTTTGGATTGACTCTGAATTCCGATTGGATCAGCAATTTGATGGTGTTGTTAGAAATGTTAATGAAATCTTGGGCTAAGTTATCAGAAATGTAGAGTCTGGAGCCAGGGAGGTGATGGTCCAGTCTGTTCTCCATTGTTCTGAGTGCATTGGGGTTGTGCATTCAGCCCTGGACTTGAATTTTAAGAGGTTTATTTGACAACCTGGAGCATGTTGGTTGGGGAAGGAAGGATGTCTTGACAGGCAACAGACTCAAAACCAAGGCACAGTTGAAAGAACTGGAGATGCTTAGCTGGAAAGCAATTATGTGTTCAATCATCCTCAAATATAAGGACTGTCATGGGGTAGGGGTCAGGTTTCTTCTTGTGGCACCAGAGGACTGATTCAGGGCTGTCGATGGGTCCACAAGAAGGCATGTTTAGGTTCAGCAAACAGGAAGGACTTTGTAATGACTTCACTTGTTTGGTGATAGACAGGGCTCTCTTGACCTTGCATACACCTTCACCGGAGGTGTCTAGGCAGAGGCCAGAGGACCACTTGGAGGCAGTGTATGAAGGTATTGAGTGTTGAATAGAGGAAAAGACTTAGTAACTTTTGAGGTCTGAAGGCCCATTTTTGGATATTTTATGGCTGTTGTTCTGAAACCCTTCTCTCTGCCATCTGAGGCAGGCCACAGACCCCACATTCCACTCCTCCACTCCCCATAAACAGCCCTTTGTGGGAATAAGAAGGACCAGATGAAATGCCTGTGAGAAAAGGTCTGCAGGTGCAACATACGACAGTACTTTCTGTGGTGATGGGTGTGTTCTGTCTGCATTGCCTGATGCAGAAGCCACTGCCTTCATGTGGCTATTGTGGGGGTTGTGTAACTGAGGAACTGAATTTCATTTACATGTAAATACCCACCCAAGGCTGGTGGCTGCCGTGTTGGACAGCAGCAGGCCTAAAGCTTTTGTATTGTTAAAAATTAAGTATTTTAGCTCAGTTGGTTAGTGTGCCTCCTTATAACACTAAGGTCAAGGGTTCAGATCTCTTGATAGTGTAGACATTGGGGTGGCTGTACCAGCCAGCCACCCCCGCACCCCACCCCCACCCCACCCCCCCAAATTTAAGTATTCCCAGGTGAAGAAATAGCATCAGAAAAAAAAAATGTTGCTGTTGTTAAGCTAGCCTTTCTGAGTCTATTTCCCCTTCTCTGTTGTCCCTGCCTCACAAGATTGTGATGAGGATCAAATAAGACTGCTGGGGGGAAAAACACTCCCTGCATCTTATCTGCACATTTTTGGTAGATTCAGGTATTCTGTGCCCTTTACCAGATCTCATCTCACCAGGTCTTGTTTGCTTCTATAGGTTGTACACCCTGGAGACCTAAAGAATTCTGTTGAAGTTTCCCTGAACAAGTTGCTGGATCCCATCCGGGAAAAGTTTAATACCCCTGCACTGAAGAAACTGACCAGTGCTGCTTATCCAGATCCCTCAAAGCAGAGTAAGACCACTGGGAAGGAGAAGGGCCAGGGAGGGAGATGACAACCTCAGGAGAGAGAGCTTGTCACTGGGCTTCAGAAAGTCTGAAATTGAGGGCCCAAGAACCCAGGGGGTCTGAAGTGCAAGAATATCGTATCCCATTGACTCCTGGAAGGGAACTTGAGTCATTTTGATTTTGGTTTGGTCAAAACCATGAAATGATTACATCCTGTTATACCTACACTGCTGAGAGATGCTGGTGTAAGACATGTACTTTGATCCTTCCAGTCTGTGTTCATGAAGTCTGCCTCTTCATTAGGAGAGTAATTGAGTTAGACCTGTTATACCCAATCAGTATATAGGGTGATAGTCTGTTATACAACCACTAAGGCAGATCCTGCAGAGCTTCCTAGAGAAGCTCATCTTTAGATCCTCACAATTCCCTTCCATATGCTTCCTACTCTCTCTTAGTCAACCATCCGCTATCCATGATGCTGATGTATTGGTATTTATAGCTCTGTGTGACCCTCCCAAAAAAGACTCAGTAAATCCTGTGTGAAATGTGTGAATGGAAACATCTAAAGGTGGCAAAGCTACTACTGTCCCCTCCCCTCCAGCCTATTAACTGAGGGAGAGAATAGATGAAAATCTGGTATGTCACTTCTGAAAGGTTGCCAACCCTGTTTTAAAGGAGGTGTAAGTCAGGGTGTAGATTCTGGAGTTCTACACTAAATCCTGCCTAATCTCAGTGTCCTCGTTTGGTCGGATCAGCAGCTGATCTGCCATGGAGAAGGAGGGTCCTGACTCCATGGGGTTCTTCTCGTTCCCAGAGCCAATTGCCAAAGGTATCAAGAATTCAGAACCAGAGATCATCCCATCCCGGCTGGATATCCGTGTGGGGAAAATTATCAGTGTGGAGAAGGTACTCATTTTTCACCACGTCCAAGAGAGGCAGGCAGGGGTTGGGTTTGTCTACTTCCATCTGGAGGAAACCTGGCCTGCAGATGGGAAGTAACATTCCTGAGGTCATACTGCAAGTCATAACCCAGGTTTCTAATTCCAGGCATCAAGCTTTCCATAGCAATTGCTGCCTCTGGACCTTAGACAACCAAACACAGCCAGGATCTCAGAGTGGGGAGCGGATGTTAGTTAGAGGGAACTTGTTGACTGATTAAATCCGATCTGATGGACAGACTTGGTCTCCACCTGGACCTGCTGCAGGCCTCAGAAAGTGGTGGAGGGAGGAGGACTTCTTTTTTCCCAGAAACAGAAGATTATGAAACCAGTGGGCTGGGACCATTGTTCTGGGCTTTTCTTCCCCCAGCCCCCATTGATTTGCTTTTCACTATAGAGACCCAACCACCAATACCTTGCAATAGCTGCTGATGCTCCCGCTTCAGATGGTAAGGCCATTAGTTGTCCTCCGCATGTCCCAGTCCACCTAGGACCAATCTGGTACAGCACATGCACCATAATGGTAGCCACTCAGACAGTGCAGACCATTTAATCTCCATTAGAGATTCTTCCACCTCTTACATGAGGAATTGGGTTCATTTTACTCAAATCTGATCTCTTGGTCAAGAGTAGATTGTACCTTCAAGGCCCTTTCTCCCATCTGCTGTCTGAAAAAGAGAGGTAGCCCTAAAGGGTCCTTCCAGGGTGCTCTAAAGGGTCGCTCCGGGGTGCTCTGTAAGGACTGGATGCCCCTTTATGGAGTAAGAGGGTTCACCAGGCCCCGGATCTACTGATACTCTCTCACCTGACATCTGTTGCTGGCAGCATCCAGATGCAGACAGTCTGTATGTGGAGAAGATTGACGTGGGGGAAGCTGAACCACGGACTGTGGTGAGCGGCCTGGTGCAGTTTGTGCCCAGGCAGGAACTGCAGGACAGGCTGGTGGTGGTGCTGTGCAATATGAAACCCCAGAAGATGCGAGGAGTCGAGTCCCAAGGCATGCTTCTGTGTGCTTCTATGTGAGTGAGGATGTGGGGTGGGCCACAGGGCCTGGGGAGGCCAAGAAGAGCAGGGAATTGGCCCATATGATGCCCTTCCACATGCCAGGTGGAAGCCCTGAGAACACCTGCCTGTTCCTCATTGATGCCAAAAGATGATGCGTGAAGGTGTTATTGTACAAGTTCTGTGAATGAAACACTTTACTTACAGTTGATTTTGTTAAAATAGAAATGGAGGGTTCAAAGCAGTGTGTACATGCCCAAGTCTCAGTAAGAGGAGTCAGGATTTGAACCCAGTTCTGATTGGCTGTGAAGTCCTTGCTGTTTTGTTTCATACTTCCTCCCCTGGAAACTCAGATTTTGGTATCTCTCTGAACATAGGATTTCAGTGTAGCTCTGGTTAATCTAAACCTGGTGATATCCAGAGATGTAGTAAAGCTGAGGATCTCCTGGGGCTTTGACACTGAGGATGCCCTAAGTCCTATTAGGGCCCCCATGTAAAGGCCCAGATTGCTTCAGCGTCCATGGCTGCTGGGGACCATCCAGAGCCTCACCCTTTCCTTGTTTCCTGTGTGTCTTTCCAGAGAAGGGGTAAGCCGCCAGGTTGAACCTCTGGACCCTCCTGCAGGCTCTGCTCCTGGTGAGCGAGTATTTGTGAAGGGCTATGAGAAAGGCCAACCAGATGAGGAGCTCAGGCCCAAGAAGAAAGTCTTTGAGAAGTTGCAGGTAAAAAGCTGCAGTTGTTTCCCCTTACCTGGGCTGCCCAGACCGTGTCCCCAGGCTGCTCTGTTACTGAATTCATAGCTGCCCCCTCCCAGTTGGGATTTCCTGCATCTAAGCCCCTCTCTTCCTTCATTCCAGGCCTTTCTGAATATGAGGTGCCTGAGGAGCACGGGGGTCTTTGAAGGAACTCGCATATACTAAGCACTGACAGGCTATTTAAGGCAGTGTGTGAGGGACTTCAGACATTTCCTCGTTTGATCTTCAGTCTGTGATAGGAGGAGATCATCCCCATTTTATCTGGCAGGATACCTGCCAAGGTCACACGAGGTCACCAGAAGTGTCAGAGCTAGGATCAAAACCCTCCCACCTTGAGCTTACAGTACCTCATTCTGTCTTCGCCCTCTGGACATTGACTCACATATGGCCTGTCCCAGTGATCCCTGAGTTCATTCATTCATTCATTCACTCAAAATACCAAGCCCGGGCCGGCCTGTGGCTCACTCAGGAGAGTGTGGTGCTGATAACACCAAGGCCACAGGTTCGGATCCCATATAGGGATGGCCGGTTTGCTCACTGGGTGAGCATGGTGCTGACAACACCAAGCCAAGGGTTAAGATCCCCTTACTGGTCATCTTTAAAAAAAAAAAAAAAAAAAAATACCAAGCCCATAAAATGTCAGTCACTGTCCTAAGTACTTGGGCTACGTCAATGGATAAAACAGCAAAAATTGGCTCTCTTCATGGAATTGACACTCATGTGTGACTTTTTCTAATTAACACTTTGTTTCTTCATTTAGACAAAGTGCTTCTAGAGGGCATTTACAGTGGTTTCTACATCTCTCCACCCTCCTGCATGTGGCAAATGGCCTTGCCCATTCCCTCCTTTCCTAGTTTTCTAGGCTGACTTTCTGAATCACTTCTTTTTTTTGGTTATAAAAGAAATTTTGATTGTAGAAAATGTCTAAAATATAGGGAGGAAATGAAGAAAATAAAATATACATAGTCCTGCCACCTAGAGGTACTAAAAAATATCATTAGTGATTATTTCCTTCTGGTCTTTTGCTATGCAGAGGAATATTTACTGTTTGATTCATACTAAATGTTTATTCGGCTTTTTTTAAATTATTATTCTGCTTTTTATTTTTTATTTTTATTTTTATTTTTTTTTTTTTAAAGATGACCGGTAAGGGGATCTTAACCCTTGACTTGGTGTTGTCAGCACCACGCTTACCCAGTGAGCGAACCGGCCATCCCTATATGGGATCCGAACCCGGGGCCTTGGTGTTATCAGCACCGCACTCTCCCGAGTGAGCCACGGGCCGGCCCCATTATTCTGCTTTTTAAATTTAACTTTATGCCTGAGGATTTTCCCCATAATCTTGAGGGGATTGCATTTTATAGTATTCTATCATAATTTAACTAAAACCTTGTTAGATGTTGAGGTTGTTCTCAGTTTTTCACAATTAGAATGCTGTGATGCCCTTTCAGCTGGAACCACCATCTTCCAGTAATTTGCCAAAAAGGCGAACACAAAGGGAAAGAGAGGCACCTGATACATGTTCTCTAGGCCTTTTAGAAAACATGGAGTTGTTCCTTTGGCCACACACGTGAATCTACAAGAAAGGTGATATTGCGGGGCCGGCCCGGTGGCGCACTGCTACAGTGCACTGCTTGGGAAGCGCGGCAGCGCTCCCACCGAGGGTTCGGATCCCACATACAGACCGGCCGCTTACTGGCTGAGCGAGGTGCGGGGGCAACACCGAGGGTTGCGATCCCGTTACCGGTCCTGGTCCGGTACGGGCGTGACACTGAGGGTTGCGATCCGTTGCCGGTCACGAAAAAAGACAAAAAGGAAAAAAAAAAAAAGGTGATATTGGAGATCAAGGGAATGAGTACTGTTCAAAAAGGAATTCCCCACAAATGTTACCATGACAAAACTGGAAGAGTCTGCAATGTTACCCAGCACGCTGTCAGCATTGTTGTAAACAAACAAGCTAAGGGCAAGATTCTTGCCAAGAGAATTCATGTGCATAATGAGCATATGAAGCACTCTAAGAGCCAAGACAGCTTCATGAAACGCATGAAGGAAAGTGATCAGAAAAAGGAAGCAAAAGAGAAAGGAACCTGGGTTCAGTTGAAGCGGCAGCCTGCTCCACCCGGAGAAGCAAACTTTCTGAGAAGCAATGGCAAGGAGCTGAGCTGTTGGAACCTACTCCCTATGAAGTCATGGCATAATGGGTGTAAAAAAAAAAAAGACCAAGACTACTGTACTATGAAAAAAAAATGCTGTGACAGATGTCTTGGTCCGTAGGTCTTTGAACTTGTTCATGATTATTTTCTTAAACTGAATCTCTAAAATGAACTTAACCGAGTCAAAAGACATGAACATGAAAGCTTTTGACTAACTGCTCTCTTAGGAAAGCTGAGCCAGATTATACTACTAGCTTAACTTACAGTCCCACTATCATCACTATAATCTCTTTTTTTTGTCTGTCTCATCCAGGCTGACTTTAAAATTTCTGAGGAGTGCATCGCACAATGGAAGCAAACCAACTTCATGACCAAGCTGGGGCATGTTTCCTGTAAATCGCTGAAAGGGGGGAACATTAGCTAGCCAGCCCAACACCTTCCTCCCTTCTCCCACCATCCTGGGTCATCTGCTGTCTCAATTTGCTCCACCCATCACCTATTTACCCATCTCTCAGGACACTGAAGCAGCAGGTTTGGGACTGTCTGTCAGGTACAGAACTTGTTAAGGGGCAGCTCGCCCTCCCCAGAATCCGGTATCATCCTATCTGGCTGTGGTGAGAGCCTAACCCCCTCCCCCGGTACTGAGGGCTGAGCAGAGCAGGGAGTCCAGCTCTGCTTTCTTCCCTTGGCAGCTGACTTGAGAAATCTGGTTTCAATATAACTCATAGGAAAGGTTTATGCCACAATCCTTGTAATTGGAAAAATAGTGGTTCCCAGGTTCTCTTGGAGTTACCCAACAGCTGTGACTGTAGCTGGGATCTAGTGCCTGGATTGGGCTAATTAAAGCTTCTCCCCAACAGGAAATTGTGGGATTTGAAAAGGAAGGAGAAAGGAAAACAGAAAACCTAGTGTTCTACCAAGCAGTTGGCAGCTTTCCCGAAGTCTGCCTACCCTGAGCCTTGGCGTGGGGGGTGGAGGCACAGGGCCTACCCCAGGGATCCTGGAATTTCTCTTGATCCAGCTAGGTTGGGACACTCCCTAAACCAGCTGTATGTTGTTAGCATCAGGAGTGGAATGGATGGCACAGTGTTCTTTCTTCAGAGAGGGTGGTGTACTTCTCCATAAGGCATCTCAATCAAATCACTAACCATCACTGTCATAAATTCAAATAAAATGTCTGAACGAGGGTGTCTGGATGGAGCCTGTCTGTGAGCTGGACCATCTCAGGAGAGAACACAAGTGGGAAGCAGCTGCTGGGCCCCTCGCCCAGCCTGCAGTTGCTTGTATCTTGGACTTTTGACCCTGTAATGGAGGGTGCAGGGGATAGGATGGATGACAGACACCTTGACTTTCCCTTTGGCAATACAGAAGAGGCCCACTCTTGGGTCTAATGCTCTCAGCAGGCAGAACATTTTCCCTTCTAAATGTGGGCCCCGACCACTGCCCTGTCCCTCCCCTATTAAGCAGCAGCAGCCACAGCCAAGTTTCAATCATTTAATTAACACCTTTAAATGAAACACTTACAGTGCTTTCTCATGTGTCTCACTCAGGCATCAGGGCAGAGGGAAGGTTTGTATAGACATATCAAAGACTCAAAAATTTAAAGAAATATATATATATATTTCTCTAACATTTATATGGAAATTAAAAATCAGAGGCTTTTGGTCTCTCAATTTTCACTAGGTCAAGCTCATTTACCCCAGAGGACAAAGGTTGACTCTTCTAGATCCTCTTCTCCTTTGTACTCTGTCCCACCCAGTGGGGAAACGAGCTCAGAAGACCCTAGCTGAGAATAAAGAGCTCGAAACATTGGAGGACAGGGGAGGGAAAGAGACAGAAGGTAGCTCCCTCCACCAGTTCCAGTGCTGCTCCCAGGGCCTGGTTTCACAGAGCTTTGACTGGGTCCTGGATCCTGGGGGGCAGGGTAGATCAGGAGCTCTGAGCAGAATGGTGCTTACTGATTGTCCTCTTTCCCCAACTCACTAGGCAGGTGCAACATATGCCCAGCAGCAGCTCTCCATTACCCATAGGGCAAGGGAAGAACATTGGTTTATAGCTACAGGAAGAAGACAGTAGTGACAAACTGAAGAAGCCCTAGAGAGGGCCAGAGGAACATGGACTCTCACTCCACATCCCTTATGTTCTCAGATATTGGGGGGCGGGGGGAATAGTGTGTCAATCCTCTCTCCTTGGTGGTGAACTAAAAGTGAGGTTCCTTGCCAGGCTCAAGCCCAAGTCACTGTTGAGGAAAGAGGATTAAGAAAGAAGGGGTGGCCCTGGGTGGCAGCCACACTGCTGTGAAGGGAGGCACTAGGGCCATCCCTGTGGAACGACAGGGGCCAATGGGGAAGCCAGCTTACCTAGACAGGTGGCACAGGCTGAAAATAAAAAGGTCATTAAAATTCCTGGAGATCAGTAGCAGAGGCTGTGACCTAGGGGGCAGCCACCCAGCCTGCTCCCTAGGAGCACTGGGTGCCCCTCATTGACTAGGGAAGAGTCGAGTGAAATGCACCTTTGGTTTCCCATGCTCGTCACTCAGCATCAGCTCCCCCCAGTGAACCACCTGTGCTGAAAGGCAGCTGCAGAAAAGACATGCACCAAAAAGAGTAAAGAAAGTTCAGAGAATGAAGTCCCTAGGGCCAGGTCTGGGCCCACTGCCCGAATAAGCTCTCCCCCTGCCAGACCCTTCCCTCCACCCACCTTCTCACTACTTCCTGCCAAGCTGAAAGGGACACAGTCCAGGGGCTCCTGCCCTGAAATGTCCTGCCCACCTGCCCAACCCGATCAAACAAACAAGAGGCAGATGCTTGGCGCTGCCAAGTGCCCACTGAGATGACTCCTTACTCTGTTCTTCCGCTTTGTGAGGACAGAGAGCCTGCAGACCCCGCTCTGGTTGTCCTCCCCCGACCCATTTGGGTCCTGGCAGTCTCCTACTTCCTGTGCCCTGCATGGAGCACCTGGAAGAGCTGGAAGGCAGGAGGGTGGTTGTTGAGTTGAGGCACAGGAAGGCTAGCCCCCACTGCACCTTTTGTGCTTTGGAATTCCACAGCCCCACCCCTGCCCCAGGCTGGAGAAGCCTGGGGGAATGCAATGATTTGCCCACCTCCAAGAACTAAGGAGCAAACTGGGTTGAAGGAGGAGGGGACAGACTGGTCCCATCTTTGGGCTGGCCACCAGGGCTTGATGCTGCTGCCATGTAAACAGGCCCTTGGAATGTGGTTTGATGGGCCCTGGAGGATGGATGTGCAGCTACTTTTCAAAAGTGCTTTGATTCTGCACTACAGTATGTGCACGATTTGGACATGAAGAAAATGAAACAAAACAAACTCAAGTGAGGCGTTCTGCTCCCAACTCTGCGGCCTTAGGGCCAGCAGGGGGCGCAGCCACCCTCTCTCACCAGCTACCTCCTTCGAGATGAGGCTAAGGCCAAGACTGAAGCGGCAGCTGCCAGAGGTGAATCATTCGGGAAAAGGCATGAGAGCTGATGACTCGGAGGACAGGAGCAACGCCAGGCTTGCATAAACGTCGAAGGCAGTGGAGGTTAAGGCTGCAGGCGTCCTCTCCTCTATTAGGTTGTGTCTGCCGTATCCTCTCGTCCTTGGAGCTGCTCAGGTCCCTGAGAGATTGTATTCCTGGGATGGGTCAGCAGTGCCAGTGAGGTGCCTGGTGGTCAGACCAGCTCTTTCTGTGGGTCTGTAAGGAAAAAGGGACACTCACCAGGGAGCCTCCAGGTTTGTTTCTGGCACTAAGAGCCACACCTCACACATCCTCACCCAACCTCTTCCTATCTCCTCAACTGACCATGCCAACAGCACTGGGCTGGACCCTTTACAAATGCTATCTCTTGACACTGTAATGTAGGTATCATTGCCCCACACTTTACAATGTGGCTAGGACAGATAAAGTGGCAAAGTTGGAAATCAAACTCAGTAGGTCTGACACCAAAGCCCCTCTCTCCCCACCCCCCCAAGCTTTCACTGTAGCTTATCAAGGATGACATTTCACCTCTCCTGGCACCCTAAGACCAGAAAAAGTCTTAAGGAGCCAAGAGCAGATCCCTAATAGTGGCACTTTAGATACCTAAAGTGATATTTCCCATTATCAGTGAGGGAACCCACACCCCACTGCTGCCTACTATACCTGAGCCTGAGGGGCCCATCTTCTCTGGGCCCACCAGCTGCACACCTCCATTCTCCGCCAGCTCCCCCTTAGTCCTGTCCTCAGCATGAGGGAGGCCATTGGTGGGAGGAGCAGTAAGGGGCTCAGCCCGAGGAAAGCTGGGGGAGGCAGGTGGGGGGACGCCCACAGAGGGCTTGCGGGCCACAGGTGGGGGTGCCTTAGATGGCTTTTTGGGGGCCTGGGTTGGCCGTTGCTCTGAGATGCTCCGAAGTTCAGCCACCAAATTCCGCTGGAGGTCGGCCTGGATCTCAGGGGACATGGGCCGCTCAAACTGCAGCTTCTTAGTGCCCTTGGAGAAGATGAAGCTTGCTGTAGAGGCAGGGGACTGGGGAGACCGTGGCTCTGCCTCAGGCGGTCCATTGGGCTGGGCACTTCTGAGGCCCTCGCCAGCAGCCAGGCTGGAGGCCTTGAGTCGGACAGCAGCATGGAGCCCTGAGGAGAGGGCAGGCACTGGGCTGGCCCGCCCTGACAGGGCCCTTCGAAGTGGCTTCTGGGGGGCTGATGGTCCCGATGCCAGGGTCAGAGCCCCTGTGGGAGTGCCCACCGAGCGCAGCCGCACCATCTGCAGGAGGGAGGGTGTGACCAGGGGCGCACCAGAATCCTCCCTGGGACCCCCGCTGCTCTTCCTGTGGTCCACAGATTCCTTCCGAGGGAGTTTGGCAAGGGGCCCTGGGACAAAACTAGCAAGAGGTGGGGCTGGTGGGGCTGGAGGAGGGTCTGTGGGACCAGGGGACTGGCTCTGGGCAGAAACAGTAGCAGAGGAGGGCAAAGCAGCCAGGGAGCTAACAGGCTCCAGGGGGCCTGAAGGGCCTGCAGGCTCAGGGCCAGCCACAGAGAAAAAGGCCTCCTCAGGTGGGGGGAAGTCAGCCATGGACAGGTCCTGCTCCTCGGGTGCAGGAGGCGGGGGTGGGGGCCAGTTGGGATCTTGGAGGGGCTCTTCAGCAGTCTCTGCAGCAGATGGGGCCTCCACAACTACCTCTGGCTTCTTAGTGGGTGGTGGGGGTGGATGATAAGATGGGGGTGGGGATGGTGGGGGTGACTGGTCTTTGCAGACAACAGGAGACTCCTGTGATGGGGTCAGGGATGTCTGGGGAGTAGGAGGGGATACAGGACTGGCATCAGTGGTAGAGACAGGCTCAGGAATCAGAGCAGGGACAAACAGAGCAGGGGCAGCTGGGTTAGGGCTCCTAGGCTTGGAGGGAGGTGGAGAGAAGGGTGCAGGCACCTTGGGATGAGGAGGTATGACAAACCTGTCACCCAGGGGGGTTGACATCTGTGGAGCAGAGCGGTCTGAGGGTGCAGGGTCAGAGGAGGAGGAACACAGAGACGTGAGGGAAGAGGAGACAGAGGGCCCTGGAGATCGAAGGGAAGTGACACGCCCTGGCTTAGGGGGCTGGGCCTTGCCTGGGGAAGCAGGGGCACGTGCCAGACCCTTGGGAGGGAGGGTAGGGGTACCACTTTGGCTCGAGTATCCACTGGAGGGTGAAAGCGTCCGTTCTGGGGAGCGTGGGGGGCGCCGGGAGCCACCTGGAGACAAGCCAGCCACCCAACTGCCTGCTGAGTTGGGTGGGCAGGGTGCTGTCCCCACCCCTTCTGACCCACCAGTGGTGGGTGGTCGTGGCAGCTGTGGCTGCTGCTTCCGCTCAGGCTTGGGCGGCAGCCCTAAGGGCCCATCAGGTGCCACTGAGCCTCGCTGATGGAGGGAGTAGGTCCGGCGGGGAGGTGGGGGGGGTCGCTTCAGCTTACGTAGAGACACACTCCGGCCAGACAACTGCCCGCTGCTCCGAATGCTGACTGTGTCTGAGGCCTCGGCAGTGCTGCCCCCACTGGGGGAGCCCCGTCCACTGCCCCCCTGGGGAGGGGGTGCCACACTATTGCTAGCCACAGAGCTCTCTGGCCGGCCCTCAGAACCACCCTTAGAGGAGATTGTGGAACCATCAGACACGATGGTCTCAGAGGACTGAGAGTGGCTCCATGTGTCACTGGAGGAGGAAGCGTGGCGGCTGCGGGGCCGTGGGCTTGAGGCTGAGGAGAAGCGGCCCATGGAGTGGACGGAGGCTGGGCTAGCCGAGAGCAGGCTGCCGCGGCTCAGTGTGCGCAGGCTGCTGCGGCCCAGGGCCACCACATCCACTGTGGGTGGCAGCACAGCATGTGGGATCAGCTTCGACAAGTAGGTGGCCTGGGGTGAGATGGACATGGCTGGGCTCAGGGGCTCTGGAGGCCCTGCCCCTCCTGTCAGTCCAGGCACTGCGAGGGACATGGGCCGGGTCAATGGCGGGGGCCGGACCCCTGTGGACCGGCCAACGAGGGTGTCATCCCGGTAGACACGGTCAATGTGGCGCTGCAGCATGGCCTCTGTCTCAGCACCAGCCTCTGCCTCCGCCTCCAGTGCCTGCAGGGACACCCGGGCCCCTGTCCCTGAGGCCAGGCCTGCCGGGTGGCCGTCCACTGTTGGGATGTGTACAGCATCGTGTGGACCAGGGGGCCGAGGAGTACCTGGTGCCACACGCTCATTCCGCAGGCCTGGAACAGACAGAGGGGAGGTGAAGGTCAGCAGAGAGGGCTTGGCCAGGGCTCCCCACCACCACCACTACCTGCTACTCCAGGGCTCACCGAGTTCCTTCTGCACATGCTGTGGCAGTCCCAACACCGTACTCCGCCGCTCCCGCCTCCTCCGCCCTGACTTTCCAGATGATTTGGGAAATGAGTCATGGGGTCGGAAGGTGGAGCCTGGGGGCCAGTCCAGGGGAGAAAACCCGTTAGAGCAGAAGGACTCGGGGCATATTCTGCAGAGCACTACTTTTGTAGAATATTAACAAGACCTCTGTGAAAAGCAATTTCGGCAGTCAAGTACTTGTGGGCAAAGCTAGGTTAAACAAAGCTACGGGCTGCTTTTCTGTAAGACTTCTGGAAGGCTACTAAGTCAACAATGATAATTTCCATTTACTGAACATATTATTATTTAGTGAACGTATTATTATTATGTGTTAGCATGCTACACATTTGGCATTCATTCTGATAAGGTAAGTACTCTTATTATCCTTATTTTTACAGAACATCAAACAGAAGCACAGAGAGGGTTTGCCCAAGGTCACACAGCTCATAAGTAGCAACACCAAGCCTCAAACCCAGGTTTCCCAACTCCTAACTGCTCTGCTTTAGATTTACAGTTAATGTGCATCATGAATCTCCAAGAGGACACAGGGAACTGTGTTTCCTGAATTTGCTGAATTACAGAGCCTGGGGAAACACTAGATTTAGAGGAAAAGTGGGAGCTGCAGGTGCCGGGACCTCTCCCCTGCCCACAAATACTGGCTGGCAAGCAGACACCTTTGCGCTGGATCATCTCTGAGCGGATGGAGAGCGCGTCCTCCGCCGTGGAGCTCTCAGCCGTGTAGGATGTGGTCTGGCTGCAGAAGGAGATGGTGTCTTCATCTGGTCCCATGCGGGAGGACTAGTGGGGGAAGAAGGAGATCAGGACCTGGCCTGGGTGGGGCTGCCTACTCGGGGCTCCCCACTGGGAACTGTGGACTCAGATTCCCCCCAGAATCACCTAGCATGGAGCAACCCTGGACTAGCACTCAAGGGTCATTCACTGTAGCCCTTTGTGACACAGAAGGAAACTGAGACCCAGAAAGGTTCAAAGACACACTGGCCAGAGGTCAAGCAGGGAGGGAAGAGTAGAGAGTCAGGACTGAGCTGGGAGGCAGGGCTTACCTGGATGCTCTGGGTGTCTCCATGGTCCCAGCCACCCTTGTTCAGTTTCTGTTTTTCTGGAAAACACCAAAAGGGTATGTTGATCTAGGCCCCTGACCTCAGGAGCTGAGAGAACTGCACTGGAGGAGAGGAGAAGAGAGGGGAGGAGGAGGTTACCTTGGTGCTGTAGAGAGCGGAGCCCTTCCTGGGCCTGTGTGTGCAGCTCTTCCAGGTGAGGCGGTCGTCCGGTGGGGAAGAAGACATTATCCTGGGGTTCATCTGCTACAGACCCTGGCCCATGGCCGGGCCCTATGCTTAGACGTTTGTCGTTCTCAGCCTTGGCAGAGCCTAGTGAGATGGAGGAGGAAGATAAGTGAGGCCCAAAGGCATCAGGGCCCTGGAGATGCACGGGCACCACAACAAGGGCACCCATTGTCCCCAGACTGCACATGACCCCTACACACAAATGCAATGTACACTTCACCCAATCTGGACACACAACCCACAGTCCTGGGGTATCCACTCAATACACACAGCCCCCATGTACATACACAACTATACCCAAGTGTACGTGCACTGTATCTGAGTACCCACAGCACACAAAAGGTCCCATACAAGGCACAACACACGGGGCACACAAAGCCCACTATATGCACACAACACTCACACACTCAAGTATAAACACATGTATGTACCCACATACATGTATACACATAACACCCATAGTACCCATTCTGTAAACAAACAATACCCAAGTATACACACAACTGTGTAACCATATGTCACTCAGGGCCCCACACCAGACACCCCCAGTACACACAGAGCTCATAGCAAATACATTTCTCTTATCTTCAGACCTCCAACCCCACTTTACAGGAAAACAAACCACCCTTTTCATACAACCCCTTGGCCCAGGTCCAGGAAGAAGATACCATGGGAAGCTAAGAAGGAGTGGGAGCTGACAGTGGTCATAACCAGATTCCCAGAAAATCCAGGGCGGGGGACAAACCAAGGATATAACCTCTTGGGTCCCCTACTCACCCATGCGGCTGCCCCTTAGTAGACAGATGAACAGGGGAGAGGAGAAGAGGGACCCAGGCCCCTCCACCCCAGCCAAGACAGCTCCTGCCTCTCCTGAGGGAACAGTCCCAGGTATCCCCCCTTTCCTGGAGGCCCTGGCACTGGCCCTGGCCCCTGGAGCACAGGAGCCAGGGATCCATTACAAAGGATCCTGTTACAAACCCTGCCCATGGAGGGGATGGCCATCTAATCCTGGGGATTGGGGGCTGTGTCAGCACTTTGCAGTCCCAGCCCCCTTTTTAAATGAAACCCACAAGATAAGCAAAAGAGCTAGGAGGGTCATGTGACCTTGGCAGCACCTTGCAGAGGGGCAGGAACAAAACAAGCCCTTTAAAGGGCCACGCCCCAGGAACAGGGTCTCTGGTTCAGACACCTGCCTTTCCTCCTTCCTCAGCCCAGTCTTCAGCCAGAACTCGTGCCCTAGGGACCCCGCAGGAATCCCACAAGGTCAGTGTTAGGAGGTCCCCCAATCCCCTGACTTTACAAATGGTGAAACAGGCTCAAAGGGGAAAGCCCTTACCTAAAGGTCACCCAGCAAATGAGAGTTAGACAGAGCCAGGACTAAACTCTGGGTTTCCAGAGGGGATCCCTGGCCCCACAAAGTCCAATAAATTCTGACTCCCATGTCTTAATCCAGGCCTGAAAACCCAGTTTCTAGGAGAAGGAAGTGGGCACAGGCCTCTCCAAAACTTCTCCACCCCAGGCCTCTAAACATAATTTTACCCACCAAGCTCTCCAACTTCCAGTGGTACTACTTTCCTCTCTTCTCTGCTACCCACATCCCATCCTCCCCCACACTGGGATGACCGGGGAGGGGGCTGCCCTCTCTCTCTGAACTGGGGTATTGGGTTGTACCCAGTAACATCGCGGCGAAGCTGCAGCCTTCAAGGTCACAGACACCTGGACCCATCCTCCCAAGCACAAGCAGGGCCCAGACAAAGGCAGCCGCAAGGCAGCTGGACAAAGGCACTGCGCGGACAGGAGATTCTGGCCTCATTACTAGCTCCCATCCCCCACACCATTACTCTTTCCCGCCCTTGATCTCCCATTCTACATAGAGTCTGGCAAAGGGAGGTGTCAGGGAGCCCTCCCCTCCCCCCCAGCCACATCCACTTACCCTTCTTCTTAAAGAGCCCAAGGAGAGCTGGGAGGTGGCGGCCCAGGAACACCACCATGACTGCGGGCTCCACTCGGGACCGTCTGCTATCGCAACCTCTCCTGAGTGCCGGGCAGAGCCTTCACTGTAACCCAGCACTGAGGGGATGCCAGCCGGCCCTCCCGCCCCACTGCAGAGCTGCCAGCTCCAGGCAGAGGAGGGGGAGGGGCTGCTCGCCGGGTCCTCCTCCCATCTTCACCACTGATCCCGCCCATCTGCCGACCCGCCTCTCACGTGGGATGCAGGTGCACTAGAGGGAAACTGAGGCACAGAGTCTGCGGGTGCTGTGCGCTCGTGGATATATGACTAGGAGGACTGAAGATACTCAATTCCAGCGGCGGATCACTAACCCTGTCTCCAAGTCCTGTCTAAATACTCAGGAGCCAGAGCTAAGCCAGGGGTCCCAACTGCCAGATGGTAGGTGGAGGGCCACCAGACTAGAGACCCCTGGCTCTAGGAGCTGGCCCAGGACACAGCACTGGGAAGTCAGGGAGATGGTGGTAACAACCCTTCATATGTACTCGTATTTTCAGCCCCACACTTTCCAAAGGACTTTCTTCCTTTGGCAATGTGATATCAGAAGCCCAGAGCAGCATAGTGAACTCTCCCAGGTCACACAGCACAGGCAGGTCTTCAACGCAGACCTCCTGCTCCCCAGCCCAGGATTCTTCCCCTTGGCCCTGCTCTGTGACTTAGTGATTCTGTGCTGGATCACCAGGCAGGGAGAACAGAATTAGTCAATGGGCCCAGAGGTGACAGCAGTAAGTAAATGCAGGGGGGTGGAGGAGGGGAGAGGTACTGGGAGGGAAGTCAAGTCAGGTTCAAATCCAGCTCCATCACACACAAGTCATGACCTCATACGAAAACAAGGCCAATAACTCCTCTTTATAAGATTGCTATATCCATTCATTTGATCAGCAAATACTTATTAAGCTAGTACTAGAGGATACAGTTAATGGAAGAAAACTTTATCTTGTTCACCAGTTTATCTCAGTGCCTAAATCAGTGCCTGGCACATGCTGAGTTCAATAAAAATTTGATGAATACACGAATGAGGTAAACTAACAATATAATTTTAGGTAGTGAAGACTGAGGAGCTGTAACAGGAAGGGGATGCCTTTAGACAAGTGGTCAAGGAAACCCCCTCTAAGCAAAGGACATTGGAACTGAGACTTGAATAATGAGGAGCCAGCCAGGGCTGGTACTCAGGGCAGAGCCTTCGAGACAGGCAATGGCAGGTGCAAAGGCCTTGAGGCAGGTTTGCAGGAACAGAGGGGAGGCCAGTGTGGCTGGAGTATGCTCAGCAAGGGAGAAAATGGCAAGAGATGAGATCAGAGTAGGGCAGGAGCCAGGTCAGGTCAGTCCCCATAGGACTTGAGGGTTTCAGCTGGGTAGTGACACTGTTTAAAAGAAACAGATCCCCCTGGCAACTGTAAAAAGAGTAGTGGGACTGTGAAAGAGGGTCTGTGAACTATAACATGCTGGACCCCAAACTCACCTGAGGACCTTTCTCCCCGCAGCACCTTTCTCTCTGAGTCCCTAGGGATCCAAATATTCACCAGGCTCCCAAGCTACAAGACACCTTTGCAGCTCCTTCCCATTTGCTGCCCACCGTGGCCTCTCAGAGACCACTCAAGCATACACCCTCGTTCTCTACAGAACAAACATTTGAGGAGCTGGATAGTATACATCCACAAATCATTGCACTCTAAACAACAATCCCAGGAAGCAAACACTTTTATGCCCATTTTACAGATAAGGAAATGAAGGCCCGAGGGAGCGAACATTACAAAATTGCCCTCTCTGGCCTCCTCTGTATAAGTGACAGAGCAGCATTCTCATTCGGAACAACCTGAATTCAAAAGCTGTGCTCTATCCACCTACATATCTATGCCACCTACATACCTCATCTCCCCCATTTCTTTCATTTCTTTCTTTCTTTCTTTTTTTTTTTTTTTTTTTTG